CCCACCTCTTTAGCTACTCTGCTACTAGGGAACTGTGCTGGGCTGAGACCAGGTTGGGCAGTGGTTACCCCTGCTTGCTCTGGTGTCTGACTGTCAGAGCCAGAATCCCAGCACCATCTCTTCTTGGCTCCGTGACCTTGGGCATGTTCTCTGTGTGCCTCAGTTTCCCCATGTGAACTGAGTAGAGGCAACACTGAGAATGGTTTAGAGAACTGTTTTTTCCAACAGTGTGTGACCATCTACAAAATGAATCCTACTCTCTCATTGGCTCCCTAGCAGGTTTCCTTTTAACATGTATGGTCGTGCCGTGTGCCAATCACTGTGCTCGGCGAGGACTCACCCAACATAGTTGAGGGATAGCTAATTACTGTATTTGGCTCAAACAGGAAAGTGATATACTCATCAGTGACCAAAAAGCATCTGAGCATCTGGATTTGTCCCCAAGCCCTGCATAGCCTGCAGCTACCTCTCACTTCTGGCCGAGTTGGGGTTTTTTCTTGGTAACAGCTTTATTGAGATAAAATTTATGTACTATAAACTCATCCACTTAAAATGTACAATTCGGTGGGCTTTATCGTGCAACCATCCGCACGATCAATTTTTAGGATATATTTGTCACTCCAAAAAGAAACCCCATATTCCATATTCCCAGCCCCCAGCCCCTGACAATAACTAATCTTTCTGCCTGCATAGATTTGCCTATTTTTAACATATAAATAGAATCATACAACATATAAATAGAATCTTTTGTGACTGGCTTCCTTCACTTAGCATGAAGTTTTCAAGGTTCATCTATGTTGTAATATGAACCAGTACTTCATTCCTTTTAATTGCTGGATGACATTCCATTGTATTTATCCATTCGTCAGCTGATGGACATTGGGTTGTTCTAGATGAGGTTTGAGGCAAAAATGAGGTCATTTCTTTTTCTCCCCCAAATCCTCTTCCTCTTCCCCCAGGCCCCAAAAGGCTGCTTTGATTGTCTGGGAGCAAGAGGTCCTCTGAAGGCTATGAGTTCAGAGAACTCAAAGATGCAAGAACAACCTTATTTATTTAAAGCCTAATTAATATTTAGCTGTTGTTTACAGCTCTTCATCTGCTCTAGCCAAGTGTCACTCCTGGTAGCAATGTTTGCTTTTGTAGAAAAGGGGATAGATGCAGAAACCAGAGTGCATTCTTGTTCAACACTAGATCCCTATCACCTAGCCACATAGTAGGCACTCAATAAATATTCATTCAATGAATAAGTAAGTCAGGGCTCCCTGGGTGGGGGTCTGTAACCACTGAGGGACCCCAGAGCCCACTAATGAGAGGCTGCTCTTGCCTTGCAGTTATCAAGAGCCCCCCTGACTGGGAGGTGGGTGTCTACGCTGCCGGGGCGCTGGCGCTGCTGGGAGTTGCAGCTGTGAGCCTATGGAAGCTCTGGACATCCGGGAGTTTCCCCAGCCCCTCCCCGTTTCCCAACTACGATTACAGGTACCTTCAGCAGAAGTATGGTGAGACCTACGCAGAGGCCAGGCAGAAGGTGAGGCTTCGTAGCTACACACCCAGTTATGTGCCCCACGTCCCCACTGTCCTCTCTCAGGGTCGTCCCTCACTCCCTCCTCACCTTGCTCCCTCCTGGTTAATTTCCTTCTGTGAACAGAGACCCTCGTCCTCCGAATCTCCAAC